GTGACACGACCTATGAATGAAACTGCACAATATTTATCAATCTAATGCCCCGCGCGAAAGACAACATTGTTAAAGCAGTTGATGTTGCGACGGTTCATGGAAGCAGAAGATCTGCACAGTCCCCTTCGCGATTTCTTCGATGTTGTCGACAAATTGGGTAACTTGGAAGTATATATATATTAAAGGCGATTTGTCAGAAATTATATTATTATATTAGTTTTCTGATAGAGTTCATCAGAGTTCGTCGAATTCAAATATGCCAAGCCCGTCGTCCGCAAGTCACGAAAGCCGGGAGAATTACTCACAGAACAATTCGAGCCAGATACGCTGTTATCGTTGCAAACAATTGGGCCATACTGTGAAAAACTGTCATAAAAAACCACAAACTGATAAAATCGCTTTCAACACGTGTTCTCGCGATGGAAGTAAACAATGGTTCTTAGACAGTGATGTTACTTGCCACATGCGCAATATTCGAATTGCTTGAGAACAGAGTACCTAGCAAGCTTACGTTAGCGAATAATTCGAGCACCGAATTTGTCGGGAAAGGCATCGTTAATTGGATTCTATAGCGAGTGCGGAAAAATCGATTACGTTGCGCGAAGTTCTTAGCGTACCGGATTTACGCACGAATTTACTGTCAGTCGGTAAAATTATGGACAAAGAATTCGAGGTTTTATTTAAAAAGGAACGTGTAATCGAACCCTGTATTAGTCGATAAGTCAAACGCTTTCATCCGAAAATGAGGCGTCTCCACCAGTTAGACTACCTTGGAGACCTCGAATACTGCAAACTGGTGCAAAGGGAAGATCTCGAAAAATGTACAATGTTGCAAACCACTGATCTGTAGATTATGTCCCGAGCCCGATAAAAAATTTACCCTGAGATCTCATATGGGTCGTAATTGGGGCTCGATAACACAGAGCTAATCATTTACAGACAAAATAAAGCTGAAATAAAAATAGGCACTCAGGGACAAATGAATAATACCACACAAATGCGTCCAATGAAGATAAGTTAAATATAAATGCAAATTTTAATTACCTTAAAGTTTAATCATCCTTCATCCGGTGCGATTCACTTTAAATGACGCACATAGAGAACAAAAACACCAATTGAAGGTGCTTCTGAGCTTCACTTCATTACTTTTGCTTGATCTTGATCTAAACGACACTGGCTTTGTTGTAAATTTAGACGTAATGGTGGTTTTTTTTAGTGGTAGAAGACTTCACTTTAACGGGTACTTGAAGACCTTATAGAAAGGCCTTACATAAGCGATAAACGCAAGATAGACACAACTCAGACTAATTTTCCGTAAACGTAAACAACTTGAACTCAATTCGAATTATTCACCTCATAACGACATATTCACAAAATCTGAGAGCGCTCACTAATCTTGTTATACAGTAGCGGCCAAAAGTTTTATCACAATTTAATTTTTTCATTGTAACACACTAGCATTTACTACGGGTAGCAATAAAATAAGTTATTTAGAGTGCCATAAAAAACAATTCGAGTCAGTCAGCCACTATTTGTTGTAGAGATGTTTCATTTGTTTTTAAATTATTTATTAACATCTGATAATTCTATGGTAACACCATGAAAAGTTATTGCCGACAAACTATATTGCGATAAACTTTTGGCCGCTACTGCATAACAAACTTTACTGTCCACAAGAATGAGTGTCTTTTAAAAACATTCGATTTCGGCAGACAGACTGCCATACACTAACAAGGCGCTCATTAAACAAAAAGTTGCACCAAAGAACTACGTTTCATGTCCGTCTCTTCTTTTTAAAACATCCTCCCTTTCCCCCTTCAGCTTCCTATTTCATATCAAAATTACTGCGCACTAGACTGCGCGTCTTTTAATAACGAAACATCTGAATTTTTTTCTGCGCACACCTGCTTACTTAAACTAATTAGCTTTACGCCGCGGTAACGAAGCCTTATCGAACGGACCGGTGATAAACTTTTACAAAACAAAATGCAATTAAATCCAGATCTCCTTGATTTTACAAGTAATTCAATTTTACAATTACAAATCAAAATAATCGAAGCGATTATTTAAACAAAATCAACATCCTGTAAATTCTGATACAAAATAACGTTGTCGTCGAACTCAAATAACATGATCGAATTCGTGTTCAATCTAAAATTACTACATTTAACTTAAAAAAATTGAAATTCACATCATTCAGGGTGACCCATTGTTATTGTAGGTGCCGATACCAAAGAAAACGTCCACATGACGTAGTTTACACTACAGTATGTTCACCATTTGAGGTTATTTCTTTGGTTTCGAATGAGTGAATTGGTACAGATGACCGTTTGGC